AGAATTGAAGATATCATTACAAAATGAACAAATCTGAGAGAGGTCCACATGTAGTACCTATATATGTAATATCAAAGCAGTCGGACTTGCTGTTTTTAACAAGAAGTCAAAAATATCACTTTTTACCAAAAATGGCAAAAAATATTCACCAAAATTAGAGAATTAAAGATATCATCATGAAATGAACAAATCTGAGGGAGGTCCACATGTAGTACCTATATATGTAATATCAAAGTAATCGGACTTGCCGTTTTTAACAAGAAGTTGAAAATATCAAAATAACAAAAATATTCATCAAAATTAGAGAATTTGAGATTTTGACATGAAATAAACAAATCTGAGAAAGAACCATTCAAGGTACTTGCATATCAAATTTGAAAAAATTCTGACTTGCGGTTTCGAAGAAGAAGTTGAAATTGTAAAGTTGATGACGGTGACGGACGACGACGGACAATCAGTAATATGTCGACAGCGGAGCTAAAAAGCACATGGCTATGTAATGTACATGCTAGGCATAGTATTCTAAAACTCGGACCAATGCGAGTGAAAGCATGTTACCACAGCAATTCGGGTGATACTGCTTTTTTTAAGGAAAGAAAATATTCATGTATTATTTCTAGTATTGTATTAACCCAAGCACTTTTGCCTATTGCCCTTGGTCAGAGGGGATTTCGTTGAAATCTTGTTATATAGGCATTGGTTCAGATGCATGTGACGATAGATGAAATAATACAAAATGAGATGTATGTAATGATAACAACAAAATTACAAAATAATAAAAATATATAGTAAAAATTAAATTAAATAAAATTTACACCACACAATATATCAGATTGGTTTGCAGTCAGGGTTCAGTTTAGACAGGTTTGCAGTCAGGGTTCAGTTTAGACAGGTTTGCAGTCAGGGTTCAGTTTAGACAGGTTTTCAGTCAGGGTTCAGTGTAGACAGGTTTGCAGTTATAGATTCAGTTTAGACAGGTTTGCAGTCAGGGTTCAGCTTAAATAACTTTCCTCTCAGAATTCAGTTTAGACATGATTCCTTGCAGAATTCAGTTTAGGCTGGTTTCTAATCAGGGTTCAGCTTAAATAAGTTTCTTTTCAGAATTCGATCAGTTTAGACAGGTTTCTTCTCAGGACTCAGTTTAGACAGGTTTCCTGAGTTGAGATTCAGTTTAGGCAGCTTTTTCCAAATACAGTATACAAAAATGTATTTGGAGATTATAACCCAAAAATTTAAGGATGGATTTTCATAACCTTAATTGTCATTATTTTCCCTGATCTTATTGGATCATAAATCTATTAGTTCATGTACCATTTGTTCTTCATGTTTCTGTTAATCAATAATGCCTCATGTATTAATGTGTTACTGGAATTGGATATTCTGTTTATATTATATTTAATTGACTGTTTTTGTAAGAAGCATTGAATTGGATATCTTCCCAATTCACTGTAAATAGCCATTTAGGTGTATTTGTTGAGTTACTAGTATTCAGAAAAAGCGACAGAATTAAAGGAATAAAGGAATCAATTGTAGCTGAATACTCATTTTTTTTTTTGAGTCTATTTATTCTTCAGTGATTTTAGACCTTCTTAGAATTTTCCATTCTGAGTTTTATTGAGGCAGAGATAGTTAAATTGTCTTACGATACTAATTTCTTTTTCACTGTAGACGAAAATGTTGTTATTTATGAGTTTATTTGATTTATTAAAAATTTATTTTTTTCAGTATTTACTGTTAAATGTGTACATGGCTAATTTATCAAAGCAAGTTTGTAAACCTATATTTCATTTTGATAGAATGACTATGTCGCCAGCATACATGAGACAGCTAATTTCTGTATTATTTAATAGCGGTGAGGTGAGTCGTAACTGTCAACACCAAAACTATCTGGTAGGTTGTTTATGAACCGGTTGTATAAATTTGGATTTAATTTGCAGACTTGTTTGATACTACCATATGTCGATAGGAAATCAGTTGTTAATTTAGTGTTAGTTTTAACTTTATATTTGACATTGCATTGTATTTTTACCTTTGTAGTACATCCTTCATGTAATAATAATAATAATAATAATTACTTTATGGCATCCTTAGAAATACAATGTTTCTATCAGTTAATAGCAATAAAGATTAGTTGTGATAACTACTACAGGTACTATAAAAGGAAAGAAAGTTGTTAATTGGATAACGTAAGTGTTACAATAATAATAATAATTTATTGACACAACACCGATATAGTACAATACGGCAGTATGGCCACTAAATACAACTATTAACTACATTTAAAATAGAATTAACATATTTGGCGAAAAATTTCATAAGATGAGTATCCAAAGCACTTAACAAATAAATGAATTTACAATCTTTATTTAGTTTTTCAAATTCTGGAAAGCTAATATTGTGATAAGTGTTACATATCAAACGGCATTTTCATTTCTTGATTGGACCACCGTCCCACAACACGGTTAGGTGTTAAGTGTTGAGGGACGGTGATTGAAGTCAACAAGAAATGATAAAACTGTCGGGGCACAATTGACTCACCGTACGCAACGTAGTGTGGTTGAACCGATCCACAGACATCGTAAGAACCCCATGGTGGATCTTGTCAATTTCGTTTATGTTGGAAACCAGGAACGAACGTCGAAAGACGAGTAGTATTATACTGTCGCGGCTACCCAGTTAGGGTCACACTGAGGACAGCGGTATTTATATTTCACAGTAAGGTCGTTCGTACTCCGGGTTCGTACTTCACAGTTCACACTTCACACATCTAGTCTGGT